AACTGTAAGAACAAAAATACACTTTTTCCTTCCTAATCTACTGCTTTGCCATGTTAAATCATACTCCAGTTCAGATCCATATAAACCTCCTCTATATAATGGCATTATTTGACAGTGAACTGCCAAGAGTACATGTTTGTGCTCAGAACACAATAATTTCATGCATTTCTAAATCCCACACACAAGCATAAAACTTAACTTCGTTATGAACCACACTATATTTTTCCCCCAATGGGTTTGGGAACACAAATGGCAATTATAATAAAATCTTCCTCTTATAGCCAGCATAAGAATTTCTTCTTTGGAAAATGAATGTTTTATCATATGCTTACGGTGATCAACTTACCGCATAAACACAAAATAACATATGTTCAATCACTATAATAACCAAAACAGGCAATTAGCAGCAACAAGAAGTAAACAATCATAAACATTCGGTTATGAAAACTCATTTCATCTATCAAGGTGAAACAGTAAGAACAAATATACTTTTCCTTCCTGATCTACTGTTTTGCCATGCTAAACCATACTCCAGTTCAGATCCATATGTACCTCCTCTATATAATAACATTATTTGAAAATCAAATGCCAAGAATACATGTTTTGTGCCCAATTCACATAACATAATCATTTCATCCAGTTCTAACACAAGCATACAACTTAACATTGTTATGAACCACAGTATATTTTTCTCCCAATGGGTTTGGGAACACAAATGTTAATAATTAAAACTTTCTTCTTATGGCTAGCAAAAGAATTTCAATCTTTTGAAAATGAATGTTCTATCACATTCTTACAGCAATCAACTTAAGGCATAAACATAAAAATAACATCTATTCAATCACTATAATAGCCAAAACAAGCAATTAGCAGCAACAAGGTTGTATTTGCCTCAAGTTTGTGAAGCAGTTTGCTACATCTTTTCCTATTTCATTTTTTTTTTTTGTGGATTCGATTTAGGAGGAAATATTGCACCCAATGACAGAAATAATAACAAATTATTAAACTTGGCACACAAGGCTTCACTAACTATGCAGTACATGAAAGCAAATGAGCACTAACTTGTCACTGTAAGTACAACCATATTGCTCATCACGTTGAAACAGAAACTAAACCACCTTAAAAAATAGTACACAAACATCATTAACAAGAAAAACCACAGAATTTCTTATAGTGAATCCCACTGCAAACAGTAATCTCTTTCTAGAATCTGTTTTCGGGTTTTACCATTAGTCGCAATTATAATGTCATTATCTTCACATATATATCATCAGAGAAAATATTCTGTGTACCCCATTTTTGCTGCTAAAAGGTAAGAACAATATGCTGTTTTAAACATATATATTCACTCATTAGGTGGGAGTAGTCATTCAAGTGGAAAAATTAACACTGCAAATTAGATACTGTGGTAAACAAGAAGCATATGGATGAAAATTTTTAGTTTATTTGACTAACCATGGAAATTTAGGTTTTCAATGAATCAAACACTCATGGTGCATTTTCAAATTGTCACCAAACATAGCTGTATAACTCACATGATAAACACTTGCTAAATTATAGCTTCAGTATTTTGATACAACTAATGTACCTCATAAAATTTTTAAAAATATTAGGCCAAGGTCCTACTTGGTCAAATCAAATCCAAGTAAATCAGGAGAAAACACACACGCACACGCACACACAAAAAATAGGAGTCCTATGTATGTCAAAATTAGGACTTGCAATTCTACGAAGACAAGCACATAATGAAACCAATATAAAATTAGCGGGTTTGACTTTAGCCTTGGTTGGCAAAGTGCGCCAGACCCGAGGTAAACAGACTTCAAAAATCCAGCTAAACATGACTTTAACAAGGCATAAAACTTGACTATACGACACAATAATAAATGAGCTAGCTATGTGTAGAGTAAACATTGATACTACACAACTTACACATATTAAAAACGTGACAATACACGACCCATTACCAACACTAATCAAAATCCAGCTATAAATTAACCCTATATTTCTTGAAATGTGTATTTGTTACCCATTAATGCCTATAGTAAATGTTTTGCAGTTCATTACGCACACCATGAATCTCTTAAGATGCAGTAGAAGAGTTAACCCCCTGTTTAGTTGGAGGAAAAATAGGGAGGATGGAAAATAGGGGAAGGAAAGTGGGAGGGAAGGAAAATCTTTCCATTATTTGGTATGGAGGGAAAATGGGAGGGAATGGAAAATGGAAGGGAAATGCTTTCACTTGAGCCCACCAAATATTTTCCCCCAAAAAATGTGCGAAAAATGGAGGGAAGATAGGTTTTTTTATGAATTGACTATTTTACCCACCACTCTCTTCCCTTGAGCCCACTTTTGTATATGTAATGGAAGAATTAATAATTACATGTACATAATGAAAAAATACATATAATTTCTAGTTAGATACACATTAAATAATTAAATGAAGAATTTTTTGATAAGTAAATTTTATTTTAATAAATGATACAATAGAACATGAATTTTGGTTGTAAAATTTGAAATATTCAACATTTCATCTTTGATTGGAGTATTTTTGGTATAAGTATAATATTTTAAACTTAAAAATAGGTTGTAAAATTTGAAATATTCAACATTTCATCTTTGATTGGAGTATTTTTGGTATAAGTATAATATTTTAAACTTAAAAATAGTCTAAATATTATATACTTATAAAAAAAAATCATGCATTTTGGTTTATTTTCTTTAATCTTATTTATGTAATTAGATGTGAGAGTATAATGGTAAATTTGGTATATATATTTTTTCTTTCCATCCATTACCAAACAAAGAAAAATTCATCCCTTCAATTTTCCATCCATCGTACCAAACATAATGAGGGAAAATATATTCCTTCTAATTTTTCATCCTTCCAATTTTTTATCCTTCCTATTAAACGTACCCTAAGTAAATACTAAAACAATCCCCAAGACATGTGTCAAGTTACCTAAGTTTGAGTAGAATGGTCCCTCCGGGTAGGACTATCAATTTTCGACACGACACAAACCGAACACATAATTAATAGGCCAATCAGAAATTATAAACAAGTTAATGGCAATATAATTTGCTTATTATGTATGACTGATGTAATCTTAACATTATTACTTATTAGTTCTAACTTCTATTATGATAATTGGTAGTATAATTCTTAATATTATTACGACAGTATATTAATATCGTTTTTGCTTTAATTTTTGAGTTGAAACCTGAATGCATTTTAATCAATTTCATTGATGAGATGTAATATGTTATTTGTAAAGAAATTATTTGAAATTTAAGATGAATGATATATTTAATGGTAATGAACTGGTGTAAAAATAAGTTATGTGCGTTAAACAAGTCTATATTATATGTGTTAAACAATTATGTATTACATGTGTTAAACAAGTTAAACAGATCGTGTTATGTGTGTTAACTCAAAAACGACCTATGTATTAATCTGTCAAACAAGTTGGTTTCCGATAACTCGTTTAATGGTTAGGTCAGGTTAGTGTTTATACATTTCGACATGATTATTAAACATGTCAGGTTTGGGTTTTTAGATTTTTGACACCAATTCGAAATCAACCCGACATGAAATGACCCAAACTAATACGTTTGACACCCTTCCCTTCGGATCAAAAAATAGGGGTGCAACTTGGGCGGGCTAACCCGATTTCAACCCAAAAAAATTAGGGCTTAAACTAGGATTTTTAATACTTGGATTGTGCTTGGGTCAAAAAACTCCAACCCGAATTCAATTTAGACGGGCCTCGGGTTGACTCCTCGGGTTTTCAGGTTGAACCTAAATATTAAATCGAGTTGAACCCGATTTTAATATTTATAACCATATAAATACATTTTTAAGTCTAGAATTAATCTGTTCTGAAATTTTCGGTTAATCTATTCTAAAGTTTTCATTGTGCGTCTCCCTCGCTCACTATTTAAGCAGTGAACTCTATATTTATACAAGGATTCTGGTTGTGTTTATTTGTGTTCTGCATGGTTATGATTGTATTAAGTCAAACATTGAGTTCTTAATATTATGGTTTTTATGTTAAAAACTTGATTGAAGTTGTTGGTTGTTAATTTAGGTGTATATTATATAATATATATATCAGGTTTAAAACAACAAATCTATTTTGGGTTCAACTCGAATTGAACCTGTAAAGTAGCCCAAAATCATTAACCCGAATTTAACTCGAGCCCGCCCAAATTAAACTCGAGTTGAGTCCCTCAACCCGAGGTAGGGTTACGGTTAAGGTTATAGTTGAAAATTATATACGTAGAGTTGGGCTAGAATTAACTGTCCAACCCGCCAGAGTTGCACCCCAATCAAAAAACAAGAGTTCCCATTCAACTTGCAAGGAAGAACTACCAATATAAACCACACCACAGTGATCTGAAGGCTGGCACTCGAAAGCCCCAAAAACTGCAACTTTTTTTGGTAAATTCAACTGAAATGACTTATTACAATTAAATCGAAACAGACAAACAAGTATAAAGGAAAATTCAAATGGGTAAAACTTGACTATTCGCTTAGAAAATTCAACCCAAAAATCGATTGAAATCCAATGAAATGGTTCATCAAATGTATAGACCAATCTTGAATGTAGTTAATGTTGATTTGAGATATAAACTCTCTTCGTAGAAGGCATCACAAGAAGGAAAGAAACAAAGGCTGAAAAAGAATAAAAATTTAAGGGGAAGTGCTTACCATTGCATCAGCTATTCCCTTTGAGTGAATTTCAGTGGCCTCAACACCACTTACTGACTAGTTCCTCATAACCTATGCCATTATAAATGAAGAGAACTTCCCCAAGTAGCTCAAAGAAGAGGATGAAATTAATAAACAGACATAATACAAAGTTAACAATACACAGCCTAAAAACCTAGGTGATTCACAAGGAATACAAAAGGGTCAAGAAAGTCTACCTTTACCCTTAACCTTACTATGCTTACAAGAACTGACTCTCTCTCTCTCTCTCTCTCTCTCTCTCTCTCTCTCAGTAAGAGGTAGGGGGCCGTGGAGGAGTAGCCCAAAACACATCATGGGGCATTTGGCCATTGGGCAACAGATTAGGAGGTAGATTATATAAAGGCAAAGATGGTGATGCGTCGGCCATACCATGAGACTGAGATGATGTGTTACCTGAAGTTCCAGCATTCACCGCCGACGGTGGCTGTAATTGCATTCCCTCATCGGCAGGCTCGTCTTCAAGTGGTAGTCTCTCGTATGTCACATTCGCAAATGTAGCCGCAATCACCATAACCGGCCCTGAAGCCATCAGAGCACCCATAACAGTTCCGCCCACCACCTGCCCTTGACCTCCGGCTAAGTACACCGTCAAACCGGTGGCTCCAGGCGGCGATGGTGTTGGCAAGAATGCACCCGACAATGATAATATCTCGAATCTTCCATGAAGTGTGATTACGCCACTTGGTGCCGCCTGTTGCCGGAGAGTAACATTGTTGACAATGCCGCTGCCGCTGAGGACGGAGACACCACGGTGGCGCCGCTGCGCGAAGGTGGCTATGCTCTCCACGATGTCATTGCCGCTGCTGATTTCCAATACATGGCTTCGGAGAGCATTGGGACTTTCTTTGGTGATGACAATGGGAGGCTTCGGTTTGTTCTTCGAACCAGCTGGTCGGCCTCTCGGCCGGCGATCAGAACTACCCGGCTCGGAAATTTCACGGCCGCCGTAGCCGGGGTTGTTTTCTTCGTTTTCGCGCTCGTTCTCTCGGTTTTGTTCATCATCGTCTGGGTTTTGGGTTGTGGCATTAGGGTTTTGATTGTTGTTGCTCCCACTGCTATTTGTGGCGGTGGTATTGCTGGTGGACGTGGGGGTGGTGTCCAAAAAGTCTTGCTCTCTTCTGGGTCCAACCCGGTTCAATCCGCCATTGTCATCGTCTGTACTGCTTCTCAGATGAAGGGATGGAGTCGAAGAAGATGACATCGGGTTCATCGCCAGATTTCCAGCCCACCACCGGTTCGCCATGTCTTTGTTCTTCTACAAAAACGTCTATAATCACTACCCCAATCTACAGAAATAAACCCTTTTTGCAACTGTTCTTCTCTCTCTCTATCAATTTATCTTACAAATAGATCTCTACATATTATTTCTCGTTTTTGTTCCTTAGGTTCTTTGCTGCTGTTGTGGTTTGAGATCTGATGAAGACACACCCAAATCCAACAAACAGATAGAATCCAAAACCTTATCCACTTCTTTCCAACCCAGCTAGCTAGCTTCCAAGTTGCCCAAATCACACATAACCCATAAGGGTTTCCTTTATTTCGAATGAAACCAAAATCAGAATTCAGAACCCACTCCTAGATCTGATTCTTTTCAAGAAAAAACAACCCACCCATCTCCGAAAATTGATAAATAACAAGATATCTAACTCCAATCCACTTCGAAGTAGCATCATCTACCCAACAAAAATCAGCTCACACCCCCGAAGTCCTTAACCATACAAAAAGCAACAGTTCTTAGACAAATATATAGCTGTTTTTAGTTTACTTTCTGTGTGCTGAGCAAAAAGAGACGGAGAAATAAGCTTCGTACCGTTGACTTACATTTAGACATATAAGTCCAAATGTAATTAAATAAGTTCGAGTTCAACTTAAATTTTTCGGTCCAAATAATACAATTTAAAACATAATTAATAAGACTTGTTAAATTAAATGAACTTAAATTTCATAAGTCCAAATTAAACAAATATTTAAAAAATTAGACTTAAATTTCATAAATTAACTAAAACCCGCAAATTTATAAGTAACTCATTATTTAGAGTCCACACAAGGGTATTCAGGTAAAATATTTATATATGGATAATTACACCTACCACTATAAATGGAGGTTTGGGGTAAGCCAAAAGAAAGGAAAAAGGGAGAAGAAGCCAAGGAGAAAGGAAGATCGGCGAAGTTCTGCTCGAAATTCACTAAAGTCTTAAAGTCTTGCAAGTTCATCTCCAAGAAGAAGAACACACCGCCAAGGTCCTTCTTTAAGAAATCCAAATCATCTTCAAGCCCTTCCAAACGAAGAAAAATGAGGAGATTTATCAAAAGCATCATCAAATTGAAGAGTAGAAGATACATTGACTCAGCTCTCGTTTTCATCAAAGCCACCAATTAAAGAGTGAGAAATACGTCAATCTAACCCTCATTTTTACCAAATTCATCAACTTCATCAAATTTACCGAGAATCCAAGGACAGTGCACATGAGAAGCACGCCAAAGAGAGTCAACACTACATTTTTTACTTAAAGTCAATCAAATTGACTTGTAATTTGACCTTATTTTGTATTAATTTACATCACAAATTTTGTCGTTACAAATTTTGGCATGCCCAGTGGGACCCTCTCTTCCTCTCATCTCTCAAGTCAAGAAGTTCTCAAGTCAACAAGCCTGACAACAATGACACTAAAGACATCGTGATTCCTCCCATCGACAAGTCAGCAGACCTGGTCGAGGAGTCAACACCAATAATCCGTGCCAAAACAAAGACGGATAAATCTCAACTTTTGTCACCGATGGAGCATCGATCTAGGCAAAACAAAAGGAAGGCTCTTCCAAGCAGAAAGAGACAACCTGCTCATTCTTCTATTGATTTGGAGAAAGAGACGAACGATTCTTTGCCTGACACACACTCCAGCACAGGCTCGAAGACTGAATCTTACTCCGAGACTTCTCCTAAACAGAAGTGGGGTGATTATTCCTCGGCCTCTGATATGCCTATGCCTGTGATGGTGACGGAAGCCACTTCATCTGAAGAACATCTTCAATAACTCACTACTACGGTCGAGAAGTTGACCAAGGCCCTTAAAGGTAAAGAAATGTAAATCGCTGCACTCATGAACTGGCTTGAATTGCAAGAACCTTCAAAAGAAAGCAGTCAAGAAACTTCAAGTCCGTCTGGTACTAAAATGCTAGAAAATTCAAAGTTTTTAGAACAACAACAAAAAAAAGAGCAATATGATCGAGCCATGGCACAAAATGCCATGCGAGATTCTTCTCAGATATCTATTGTCGCACTCTCTGTCCAAGAACTTCAACATATGATTGCTAATACCATTCGATATGGAGAAGCTCCTCAGTCTTCGTTAGTATATGCGAAGTCATATACCAGACGAATTGACGAGATACAAATGCCAATAGGCTACCAACCCCTGAAGTTTCAACTGTTTGATGGGAAAAGCAACCCAAAATAGCATGTTGCTCATTTCATTGAAACATGCAATAATGTCGGTACCTACGGTGATCTGATGGTGAAACAATTTGTGCGTTCCCTCAGAGGGGCTGCGTTTGACTAGTACACTGATCTAACAGTTGGGACCGTTGATAGTTGGGACCAACTTGAACGAGAGTTTCTCACTCATTTCTACAGCACTCGACGTATGGTAAGCCCTCCTGAACTTGCAAGAACAAAGCAAAGAAAAGACGAAACTATCATTGATTACATTGAAAGCTGGAGGAATCTTGTTCTCAACTGTAAGGAACGCATTAGTGAAGCCTCTTCAATTGATATGTGTGTCCAAGGAATGCATTGAGGACTACACTATAGTCTCCAAGGAAATATGCCTCATACGTTTGAAGAACTTGTAACATGAGCCCATGAATTGGAAATTCAAATTTTCAAGCACGAAAATTACTTTCTCAATGACCCTCGTGAAAAGAGAGACGTAAAGAAAGACGTAAAAAAAGATGTGAAAACCTCCAAATCAAAAGAGTCTTTGACAATCTCCACTACACCGGTGAAGATTTTTGATAAAAAGCCAAAAACAGACTTCCAAGTCAATTTTAATCAAGATCAGACTCAAAAGAAGACAAGGCCAAGTTTGAAAGAACTTGAAGATAAGAAATATCCCTTCACTAATGATGAAGTGTCAGATATTTTTGATCAACTACTCGAGCTAAAACTTATCGAGCTTCAAACACCCAAGCGGCCAGAGGAATCGGGAAGAGTTGATAATCTGAAGTATTGTAAATATCATCAGATTATTTGACATCCCCTTGAAAGATGTTTTATCTTAAAGGAAGAGATTCTTCGTTTATTGAACGAGAAAAAAATTAAACTCGATTTTAACGAAGAAATGGTAGCTACAAATGTGACAATGGTCACTTTTGGGTCCTTCGATCCTATACCAATTTCAAACAAAGGAGCACAATCATCATCTCTGATACATCCTAAAGAACCATCACAACCGTTGAATTCTTCTATCTCTGCAGAAGAAACATCGTCAACCAAAAGTAATGAACTTATCGTTCCTCTTCTTGAACGAGCTGTGCAAGTACAATTAATTGTTGATGATGAGATAACAACAGTATATGCATACCCAGGTATGTCGAGGCATAAAAATCCCAACATTCCAATGCTTTATGAACTCATGACAGATGATCTAGATGTTTGGGCATCATCATCTGAATCAGAAGACGAGATTGAGGATGGTTGGTCAACCTTTGTTAGCAAAAAGGATAATATCAAACCTCGATTACTAACTCACAATCATCTAATCGACTAGGTGACTTAGAGCTCATGTCAGGAGCACCTATTTTGGATCTCAAACCAAGTGGGTGGCCTCATTTGGATGATTTTGTGGCTACTGAAGAAGATTTGGGGGAATGGACTATGGTGAAACCTTAGAAAGTGCGTAACCTACAACATTCATCTCCTCCAACTAATAAGCCAAAACACCCCAAAATAAATAGGGGACCTCATTCTCACCGAAATCGAAGATATGGAGGAAAAAGAAGAGTTTCTTCCTAGCCGACAGTCATTAATGATGAAGACTATAAGTTACGTTCTCGCACACCTGTAACATTGATGGAATATTTTTCGAAACAATTCTTTACAAGGGAATCAATTACATCTTATGTGATCCGTGCTTGTGAAGAAAAATGCATAACTGAGGCTCCACTAAATAAAGATTCAGATACCAAAAATGCTCAGAAAGATGTATCGACAGATGAAGAAGAAATGATTGAAAGGTTTAGAGAAATTTCATCAAACCTAAGTCTTCTTGAAGCACTTGAATTATCCAAAGAAATCCGACAAATGTAAGTACAAGCTTTGATCAACCCGAAAAAATTCAAAAAGAAGATCTTAACTGTTGCTGATCAAGTTAGTCATTCCGATTGCATGACAACGATTTCATTCACTGATGAAGATTTGCAGTTAGGATCTCTCCTCCACAATAGACCCCTTTACATGAGCAGGTTTATTCAAGATTATAAAATATCTTGTATCTTGATCGATTGTGGATCGACTATCAACATCATGCCAATTCGCATCATGAAGCAACTTGGAATCTCTATGGACGAGTTGTCAAAAAGTAAACTAACAATTCAAGACTTAAATCAACAGGGGTAACTTGTCATTGTTATGATTCGCCTTAAGATGGAGATCGGAGAATTGGGGTCTTTTGCTTTTTTCCATGTTATTGACTCCAAAACATCTTATGAATTACTATTGAGGTGACCTTGGTTACATAAGACGGGAGTTTTGCCATCAACATTACACCAATGCTTCAAATATTATCATGATGGAGAAGTGAGACAAGTCATTGCTAAGATCAAGCCTTTCTTAACAGAAGAATCTCACTTTGCGAATGCCAAATTCTACTCTGAAGTCGAGCTTATCACGGAGGCACTTCCTTGTACCATACCAAAGATCAAACTGTTAAGGAAAAAACAAGAATAATTGTCAACAGATGACATCAAGCACTTGAAGAATGAAATGACCTTACCTGTAACTCAATTATCAAAATTGATGATCTCTAACCCACCATTGAAAGGCTTCACAAAACCTTTTGTGGCAAAAGAAGGAAAAGATTGTAAAGAAGGTTGGTTTGATCCTCATGTTAAGAAACTCTTTGAAAATGTAAGTTATGGTAAAGGTGAACCACACCAACTTGGGAAACTCGATCTATCCTTTCAAGAGAGAAAACTGATGAGTCAACGATACCACAAAAGGTAGCTAAAGGAGAGACCTCTATACAA